CCCCAAAACCCCAAAACCCCAAAACCCCAAAACCCCAAAACCCCACGGAGTGCTGAGGCAACTGAATCTTGTAGATTTCCAAATTCAATATATTTAAATTAAAGATGAGAAGAAGTAAAACATCCCGCATTACCATGACTCCGAAGTCAAAGTCCACCAAAAAGAAGAAGAATCAGAGGATTTTTTATCAAACCTTCCCTGTAGTGGGAGAGGTTCCCATAGCCTTCTATATCCCTGAGTGAAAGTCAAGAGAAGCTTATAAAAAGCAAATAGAAGATCATGGAGGAATAGTTATCAACATTTTTGAACCATATATGTATCAGATAAAGATTGAGCGTAACAAAGTTAAAAATAAGAACTTCTATGCAGGCATTATATACTCCTCAAAGCTAATCGATGAGTCTATTAAAGCAGGAAGAATGATGAGCTCTCTCGACACTTTCAAAATTGGGATGGTCAAGAACGGCATACCGCACAAAAATTTACATAGACAAGGGTATACTTTTCTAGAAGTTCTTAAGGTTTTCGAACTTGCTGAATCTATTAAGAATTACAAAAAGATGTTCAAACCTGAAGCTTGGGAAAAGATTGCTAATAAGGATATCATCCCAGGGAGACCAGCCAAAAGCTTAGCTCAGACCTTTAAAAAGTTTAAGAAAGTTGGTAAAGAGGCTGCTCTTAAAGAAATACTCAAGAAGGGAAAATACTCTCAATACTTCAGTTCTCCTCCAGGATTTTCAAAGGAATGCACTATTGAGAAGACTCCGAGCACTCAGTTTGGATCGACTACTGGTAAAGATCTTTCTCCCCTCAAGGCTGAACTCCTCTCAGACGAAAGCAGAGAAAACCCAGACGAGGAGGAAGAAGAGGCTGATCAGCAAGAAGATGACGATGTAGAGGAATTTATTCTTGCAGTTGATGACCTCGAAAGTGTTCTGGCATATAACGAGTCTGATGATATTAGCTACAATGTCAACAATAATATGAAGAAGATCAACACAAGAAATCTTTCTGACATCTACACTGACATGGAAGAGAATCAGTTGAGGCGTGTTACTGGTCACAAAAGAGTTAAAATTGCAGAGGATACTGAAATTTCTAGTCCAATTTATGCTTCAGATGAACTGATTTATCATTGTAAGGAGAAAGAAAGGATCTCAGTTACTTTTAAACCTCAGGAGAGACTTAGACTTGTCTCTAAAAATTACAGTAAGAGCAAGAAGTTAGACTTGTTCAGAATGCTTTACAATGAATTGGAATACCTCTCAAAAATACATGCTATAAAAATAGACGATCTTCACATGCTCTTTTTTGAAGTTTCATGAGACATCGGAAGGCTAAAGAAAATCCTAACCTCCGAATCTACTTCAGCCCCTAAAAGGTGGGACGAACTAAGCGATCTCGCAGTCCTTTCCAACTTTAACTCAGTGGAACACAAAGCATTATGAAAAGAAAGAGGCCCAACAGAAGTTTCCAAGAGGAAGAGATTTTTGGAAAGCAGATAAATTGAAACAGCATTAAGAATTTCAAATCTTAACAGTCTCAAACTTTCAATTTCATATCTTTAAAAAGGGGTTTTGGGGTTTTGGGGTTTTGGGGTTTTGGGG